TATATATATATATATATATATATATAGTGCTGTCAAACGATTAATCGCGATTAATCGCATCCAAAATAAAAGTTTTTGTTTACATAATATATGAGTGTAAACACATACATATATCATGTAAACAAAAACGTTTATTTTGGATAAACAATAGTGAAATTCAAAAAAGTGAAAGTAATTTGAGCCTGTCATTTTGAGTCCTCCCTCATCTTGCGTTTGTTTTTATGGTTTCGGTTCAGAGTGGAAACATGCCGCTTGAGGATGAGGAGAAAGGAATTCTGTTCTTAGTTACTAATCCACAATGGAATTCTGCCTGACGGATGAGTTTTCCCTCTCAGCGCTAGCAATAAGGACCAAGCAGCGTGGTGTAAAATGCTAATGTTTATGTTGTAAACGGAGGACTCAAGTCCAAACATGACCGGCCCAGATTCCCTTTTAGTGGGAACCAGCGTAGCATAGAAAAAGTAAACTTTCAGACATGTTTTCTCCAAATTGTCAACTAAACAGCATCTTACTTAACTGACAGTAGAAGAACATTGATTAATCTGATGCCCTACATAATAGACAGTAACCTCGGCTTTCTTAAAACCTCTTTATGAATGATTACAGAGAATCACAAGTCTTAAAGTGAATTATCATACAGAAAGCCTCATAGATCCTCTCTACCACAGCGCTGAACCAAACGGCCACCATTTCGGTCAGGGAACGCAGACGGTACCGCAAATAAGCATCCAGTTTCCGGCTGTTGCTTCTCTCTCTGCATATTCTCTCACAAACTAAACCTCAAGATATTATGTAAGACAGAGATTTAGGCTATGTATTATGATTTGTAGCTATTCTCAGAGACCTGTTTCCTTAAAAAAAAAACGTGTTTAAACCACCAGAATGGGCTTCGCTAACCGCCATGTTCGATTCAGGGACAGCATGTCACAGCATGTCAAACAATAAAATTCCCTGGCTGATATAGCAAAGGTTGCTGTACGTTCTGTGTACATGGACGCTTGTCAAACAGTAAGTGAGTCCATGTAAAGAACGCAAAGTTCTCCAAGAAGAATTAGGACACTACTGAGAGATATTGAAAGGTCAAAGACAAAAAAGTAGACAGGGACTATTTTATGATGCTTTTATCAAGCTTTTTGGAGATTTGATCCACTTTTGTATGCAGAAGAGCAGCATGAACATTCTACTAAGCATCTCGTACGGGTTTGGAATGACATGAGGGTAAGTAAATGACGACAGAAGTTTCATTTTTGGTGAACTGTCTCTTTAAAGCCACCTGACATTATTACAGTAATCAGAAACTGCCTGACACAATAGTATTTATCAGTTGTTTATTGTCACTATGTAACTGTAAATCAACTAATCAGACATCTGTGACTCTATAATCTAATGTCCTCACCAAATATCACAAAGCCCAGCAGAAAAGCATGCGGCTTGCATGTGCCACACAATTATACTCTAAATCTGTCTTTGACATTTTGGTTTGACACGTGAGGCATTATTGGGTGGGGAAAGTGCCAGAAGATATTAATGAGCTGCTATGAAAGCAAGAATAAGTTCTGAGAAAAAAAAAATCCATTAAACTTTGCCATTCAGACTGGAATACAGTTTTCTAGTGCAACTTTTCAAAGCTTGAATTATCAGTTTTTGTTTATCTGTTCCTCAGGTCAACATTGGGAAGAGAAACAAGATGAAGAGAAATGCACAGCAAACCACAAGTGAGCACAGCAGGTGTCAGCCAGAAGAGGGCACACAGACACTCATACTGAGCAATTCATTCTTTTGAGTGCCGTCATCAGCCAGCAATAATGACTTGAATGAAGACAAAGAATGACGTTGCTTTAATACGTTAAAATTGTAGTTTTCAAGAAAAACTACTCAAGATCCTATTTCAGAGAGTTGCTGCCAATCAAATCCACCTGTAAATGTATTATACTTGTATGAGAATTATACTTGTGAATCAGGCTGTTCCTTATGCAACTTTAACCTTGACTCAGAAGTGACGCAAGCGCTTATCACTAAAACAAAAAAATACACTGTACATTAATTTGTGTCACTTCAGAAGGCATGGCGGTCACAATAAAGTATTCTCTTAATCACACGATGAGCACCAATGTCTTTTGGGAAGCGACTAATGACTTGTTTTGTAGGTTATGAGCCAAAAATTTAATGATGCAATGATGTTCGCTGCTTACCTAATGTAAAAGTGAACACTGTATATAGTAAAAGTTAGTTATTATCTGAAGTTCAGATTCTGAACCCATTTAATATTATTTTTTCCCCAACTCATTGGAAACAAACTCTATGCCTTTTCCAATAAAGGCTCAGAAAAGTTACTGAAAGTGTGTTTTATTCCTGGTCACAGTTGTTATCGATGGGAAACTACCACAGGAAAAAAAAGTTCCTCAATAAGACCCAATAGAAACTT